GAAATAATCTGAATCCAAGAGTTGATTACGTATAAGGAAAGATTAGCACTCGTATAATGCCGGTTTAAAACAGTACCAATTAATTACTTATTATCCATTAATCTTGACAAAAATATTATTAGTTTCAGTGTTTAAAAAGTAATTTCCTTGACTTCTTTTGTTTATTGAAGTTTTAGTTTTTATTATTATTATTATTATTATTATTATTATTATTATTATTATTATTTGTTATTCCATTCTATTCAAGAAAAATAAATTGGAACCCTTTTTATTGAAATAATTCTTAAAATGTTTCAATACATTGGTAATATTAGAATAACTCTTTCTCACCTAGAGATTTCTTAGGCATCGCTTCTCGGAATACCTTAAAATCTCATCTTCAAAAATTTGTATTTACTTTTAGTAAAAATAAGATCATACATGTAATGTAAATGATAATATATTGACGCACACATTTTTTTATAAAAATTTTATTGGTCCTTTTTTATTTAAATTTTTGAAGAAAAGAAGAATTTTTATTATATTGAAGATTTTTTATAAATACTCTAATATACTGGTAATATTTTTTTTAAAAAAATCTTCTCGCTTAGGGATTTTATAAAGCATCACTCCTCGGAATACTTTTAGAATCTCGTTATTGGACAAAAAATTTTTTCTCACTTTTTGTCATTTTATTTTTAACAAATTAGTTAATTTTAATTTTATTTAATAACAATGAAAAAAAGAAAATTTTTTATTGTATTTAAAACATTTTATAAATACTTCAATACATTGGTAGTATTTAAAAAAAAATCTTCTCACCTAGAGATTCCGTAGGTATCGTTACTCAAAATACCTTTGAATCTCATCGTCAGATAAAAATTTTCTTTTTTTATGTTTTTGCTAATTTTTTGTTATTTTCCATTTTTCACATTTAAAAAAAATCAAAATTTAAAAATTATTTTTTTAGTGTTAGTATTATAATCCTTAGTTATTATTTCTATTATGATTATATTGTTTTATAAAGTTCATTTTAACGTTTAGTAAAAAAAAATTAGACTTTGTTTTTCGTTATTCATATTTTATTCATTCATTATTTTAAATTTTATATTTTTTCTTAGTATTTTTATTTTTTATCCTTATTATATTTATTTTACATATCCAAAATACTAAAAATAACATAAAATAAAATAAATGAAATAATTAAAAAATTAAAAAAATAATAATTTTTTGCTAGTCAACGACGAGTCAATGTCGGAGTCAATGCCGGCTATCCAATCTCAGTCTGGAACTATTCAAAACCAATTCATCTGGCGGCTCAGTGGTCCAACACTGGTTTAAGTGAACCAATCAAAGTTAACAACAAGTCGAGTTAGGTGCATGGACCTTGGGTCAGATTGGTGTCGATGCGTAGATTCTTAAATCCATGAAATGGCGTCGTTTTGCCTTTTTTTCAACTATAAAAATAAAAAAAAAAATATTTCATTTTCTTGCTTTCATTTCTCTCTCTCCCAAACTCCTTCTCTCTAGCCCTAATCAGCCGCACCCTATTCCCAAAATTCAATGCTAGTGCACCGTTTTATCTGTCAGTCATCGTCACCATTTGTTGGCCGTCGATTGCCAAAAAACCCCAAAAACTCTCAAAAACCTTCCCGTCAACCTCTTAAACACGAATCTATACCTAATTTTGTAAAATAAGGCTCCAAACGATGCAAATCTAGCTTGAAAGATTTGGCCAAAAATAATTTTTTTGCTTGGTTTTATTTTTGTTTTTTTCTTGCTTTATGCTTCTAACAATGTTGGTTCTTGTTCCAGGGACTATGATTTTTTAGTTTGTGTTTTTGGGTTTCTTTTTTTTTTATAGAAAGATCCCATTTTTCTTGATATGGTAGAGCTCTTTAGTTTTTTGGATTGTTTCATTTTTTTTTTTACTTGCAGGTTTTTTTTTTTGGATTATAGTTTTTTTCATAGGTTCTCTCAATTCTTGTTTTTGTCTTTTATGGCTCTATTTATAGAGCCAGATTAAAATCTTAGATTTTTTGAGATTTTATTAAACTTTGGCCACCTAGGGTTAGAGTGACAGTCAGAGCGGTTATCAACGGCTATTAGAGCTACTGGCAAAGCGGTTGTCAGAGGCTAGCAGAAAATGTGCCAAAATAAGAGAAAAGGAAAATAAAGGAAAATAAAATAAAAAAAACAAATAGATAATAATAATAATAATAATAATAGGTGTTTACAAACCCGAATGCAAAAAAATTGTGGAAAACGCATGAGGTGACAGGACAAAAACCAAAGTGGAGCAAAAATTATCCCATGCAGAAACGTGTTTAAGCATTTGGCATGCAGAGGCGCATTGATGAGCTAAAGGATAGTTGCACGGGCTACGCAATCAGGCCGCGAGTAACAACACATTTGAAGTAGAAAGATCCATAAAAAAGGAGTCAAATGTGCTGGTGGAAAAAGAGGAGTTACTTTGGTTAGAGAGATCACGGATTAACTAGTTGAGGCACGGGGATAAAACAAAACCTTCTTCCATGCCCAAGCTTCTCAAAGAAGAAAAAGAGAAATTGTATTAGCAAGATGAAGAAAGCTAATGGAGATAGTACCCATGATGAACATGAAATAATCGAAATTGTCACTAGCTACTTTAGGAACCTTTTCCAATCCTAAAGAACAAATCATTTCGAAGATGTTCCTAAGGCGATCGAACCTAGAGCAATGGATGAGAGGAACAACGAACTCCTGACACAGTTCAAAGAAGAGGAAGTCCAAATGGCCATTAAACAAATGCATCCCACTAAAGCACCTGGACCTGACAGTATGCCTGCTCTTTATTACCAAAAATTCTGGAATATAGTTGGCAGCGATGTTACAAATATTTATCTAGATTGCTTGAATGGTAGGGCTAATATTGGGGACATAAACAAAACCCACATAACGCTCATCCCAAAAATGAGAGAACCGGAGTTAATGACCCAATATAGACCCATAAGCCTTTACAATGTCATGTACAAAATTGTAGCAAAAGTATTAGGGAACAGGCTCAAAAATACCCACTCTAGGTGCATTAGTGAGAACCAGAGTACTTTTTCCCAAACAGGTAATCTTTGATAATGTGATTGTCGCCTATGAATTCTTACATAGTCCAAGGAAGAAAAAAGGGGGTAATGATGTTTTCTTTACTCTAAAATTGGACATGAGAAAAGTTTATGATCGAGTTAAATGGAATTTCTAGGACCAAATATAATCATGGGTAAGTTAGGGTTCCATGCCCGATGGATTGATTTAATTATGATGCGTGTAACATTTGTTTCATATTTTTTTGTGATTAGTGGCTGTATCACTAACAACTTCAAACCAGAAAAAGGTTTTCGTTAAGGAGACCTTTCCCCCTACTTATTTTTTGATTTGTGCTGGAGGTCTCTCAGCTCTCCTGTCTAAAGCCCAAGAGGCAAGGTTGATACATGGGCTACAAGCAAGCAGAAATGGTCCAACGGTTAGTCATCTTTTCTTCGTTGATGACAGTCTGCTATTGGTTAAAGTGAATAGAACCGAAAGCGAAAAGGTAAAGTACATGCTAAAGAGATATGAAAAAAGCTTCGGACAGTGCATCAACTTCGATAAATCCGCTATATTCTTTAGTAGGAGCACTTCTCCGAACCGAAAATCAGAAATCAAGGAGATCCTCAACATTGAAATTACCGGTAGACCTGAAAATTACTTGGGGTTGCCATCATTGGTTGGAAGAAATCCAAGGTGGGCCTCCAGAGAACTAAAGAAAAGATCATGGCAAGAATGAGTTGCTGGAGCGCAAGGACTCTACCTCAAGGTGGAAAGGAGGTTTTTCTCAAAGCAATGATACAAGCAATACCAACATACACTATGAGTTGCTTCTGTTACCAAAGGCACTTTGTCAGAACCTGAACGGCATGATTAGGAGGGCTTGGTGGAAACAAAACAAAGACAGGAAGGGGATTCACTGGATAAGTTGGGACAAAAAGAGCAAACCAAAACATGAGGGGGCAAGGGCATCCGGGATATGGCAAAATTTAACATTGCTTTGCTCACGAAACAAGGGTGGCGCCTGTTGCACAACAACAACACATTGGCCTATTCGGTGTTACATGGTGAAGGGAAGAGCTAACCTGTTCAAGTAGCGAATTTTATAAGGAAATATAGGCAGGAGTTTAATGAAGCACAAGCAACAATGGAGTCAGTCCAGATCATGCCTCAAAGACTGTGGACCCCTCCCAACCATGATTTTTACAAAGTGAGCTATGATGGAGGTTTAGTAAAAAAGGAGCAAAAGGCTGGGGTTGGAGTGGTTGCCCTAGATGCAGATGGCAAAGTGGGGGGGGCCTGTGCTGCAAATCTCGATCATGTTGATGGTCCCTTTGTAGTTTAAGCTTATGCAGCAATGAAAGTGGTGTTTGCAGTTGAGCTGGGATTGCAGAAAATTGTTATTGAAGGGGACTCCCTGAGCATCATTAATAACTTAAAGCAAATGAAGTAGACCATTCACCAATTGGCCATATTATTGAAGATGTAAGAACCGTGGCCAGCCAACTCTTTTATTGCGGGTTCATGCACATCAGCCGCGAGAATAATGAAATAGCTAATAGTCTTGCAAAGTTTGGGAAGGAGATCATAGGAGAAAGAGTTTGGTTGTGAGGCACCTATTTTTTTTATTTAACAATGATTCTGAGGCTATGTATCAACTTTAACTTTGAAATGCAATGAATGAATTTTCTTTCGAAAAATAAAAAAACAAATCAAGCTCAAAATGATTCTATACAAATACAATACAGTCAACCGAAGACCTCAACTAACCGTCTTTACAATTATCAAATACATTAACAGTAAAATTTTAGACTTTACAAACAACATTAATAAGATAACACATTTTTTATGGTATATTAAAAAATAAAAATACTAATTAAAAACTAGATTATGTATTAGTTTCTTAACTCATTGGTGAAATTAAAAAACTCCGGTGATAGTGAGTAACAAATAATTTCCCATATATATAATTTCATAATTAGCTTCAAATTCAGGATCAATATTCAAGAATTATGTCATGTTCACAACACACATAAGGCACTAATTATTCAGTTACAAATATTAAAGAGAAGGTGATCCACACTTTTATTTATATGCAGTTCCTTTTTTCAGGTTATCTGGTTATTAGTAAACTCCTGTCTGATACTTGGGCTCACAGAATTCTCCTCCAAGATCATCACAAGCCTCTTCTAAGAAGACCCTGAAATATATATATATATATATATATATATATATATGATCATACATCAAAGGAAAGGCAACTGCAAAATTCAAAGTCTCAAAGTTAACCATCAAGAGGATCTAGAGATGTCTTACGTCTTGGAACTGTTGTACTCTAAGTATTCTCTGTCAATCTGCTCTGAAGCAGTCTTATCCTTACTGCTTATTTCAGCTTCTGGCTTTAGCTTCACTTCAGGGTACATAACCACATCGCAAGCTTCTCCTCCAATTGTCTCACATGCCTCAGCTGGAAAAACACTGCAATAAACCACTTCCAAAGTTAAAAGCAATTAGATCGACGCAAATAATGTAGATGAGGAAGTTAATGAAAAGTGGTGAAGAGTTAACTTACGAGGCCATGGAGCTATAATCAACCGTTGAGCTTTCATGAGGAACAGGTGTTGCTTTGATCGGGGAACATCGAGGAGTGAGCATTGTTAGCATGGACTTCCATGGCAGAGCCAAGGCTTTGGTTGGTGAAACTATGGAGAGGGCTGAAGGTGTAAAGCTCAAGGCTGCCTGCATTTCTTGTATTGATGGATGCTGGTTTTTAGAGCCTAGTACGAGGAATGGAGAGTAAAACGATCAAAATGTTAAAAGGGTTGTTTGGATTGGTGACATTAATGAATAAGGTGGATGGCAAGATTTTTTTTTTTTTTCTAATGGGAGTGGATAAGGAGATATCCGGTTTGACTGAGATTGTGGTGGTGCAGCCTCCACACTTCTATCAGCTTAGATTTTTCACTACAAAGCACTAACTGTATGTTTGTTAGGAATGCAGATACGATGACCTGCTTACAACTCAACAAAAGCAAAGGGTTTAAGTGAGTATGGAGGAAATTTCATAATTTCACCTCTAATTCTTTTAATATAATTATAATTTTTAAAATTTTTAATCGTAATAAAAAAATTATGTAGGATTCATAAGAAAAATGTTTAATTATAATTAATTAATAATTATAATGTAATAATTATTGATGATATATTCTGTGTGTTCTGGCTTTTAATTGGGTCAAGGGTAGCCCAACACTGACTCTCGGCCCAAAATCTTGCTTCTTGCTTTAATTTATGGGTTTCAGATGGTGCAATAATTATGATTCATCTTTTGTCGTTACTGCAGAAGAATCAAAGAATTATTTCACCTTTTAAGTTAAAAAAAAAAAAATGCATCCGTTGAATAAATAAGATTCATGTTATATTTTTTATTATTGATCATCACGAATTTAAATAGATAATAGATACATTCAAATTATTTTTGATAAAAAAATTTTATTGACAGAAATAAAAAATTAATAGATATAAAAATATCGATTCCAAAAATTGGATCAAATTTTAAAATTTTTATTTAATATAATTATAATTAATCTCCACAATCGAACAATTAAATAAAATAAATTAAATTAAATAAATAAATAAATTTCTGGATGGTCATACTAATTAATCACCAGTTCCAAACAACACGAGGGAGACTTAACAGAAGGAGACAAATTTATGACCAAAACCTCAGTTCCATCCATAACAAAAATTTTGGTCATGTTCAGTCAATTAGTACATGCCAAAATTTATGTCACGTGGCTTCTTTAGATATATATATATATATATATATTGTTTTTTTAATAAGTTTTATTATTAAAAGTTTTATATTTAATAAATTTTTTTAAAGATTTTATTTTTTTTAAATGTGGCTCCACTTTAACCAAGTTTTTTAATTCTTTTTTCTTTTTTCAAAATTTAAATTCATATTTTTTGCCGCTCGATGCTAAAAGAATATCAGTATTTTTTAATTTTTAATTTTTTTTATTTTTATATATTTAATAAATAGCTCTTTAGATTTAAATTTTTTTTTATCATATTAACTTGATACCAAAGATATGTCATATTTTAAGTTATTTCTTTCATTTTTATATTTTTATCATATTCTATTTATTTTTTCTTTATTAAATATTTATAATTTTTTATATGAAGCTCATTTGATATTAATGATTATTTTTATTTTTTTAATTCAATATTTTTAAAGAAATTGATATTGGAAAAAAAAATTTATCATTGTTGAAGCCGCATGATGATTTTTTTTTTCTTTTTTTCGTCTTTTCTTATTTTTTTCTTTTTCTATTTTTATTAAATAATTTTATTGAAAAAACTAACGGAGGTATGCATGTTCCACTCAATTTCGCTTTTTTTTCACCTTTTTGACATTTTTTGTTTTTTTTTAATTATATAATTTACAATAAAAAAATCGATAAATATATATTTTTTTCAAAAATATCAATAGAAGAATAAATAATAAAACAAACTATATTTGATGATTTTAATTCATCTTAATTTGATAATTATTTTTTTAATTTAAAATCAAATCGATATTTTTTAAAAAAAATTAAAATCGAGTCAAAATTAAATTGATAATATTTCATCTCACCTTGACTATATATATATAATTATATTTGTATTATTCATTTAATTTTATATTTATATATATGATTATATTAGTATATATTATTAAATATTATGAAAAAAGATCAATTAAGGTATGTCATTCTAATTTTTTAACCTTTCATCTTTTTTATTTTTTAAAAATAAATTTTGTAAAAATATACGATAAATAGAAATAAAAAAATAAAATAAAAAAATTGACCCCACGCTAAGCATGGATATTTTTCTAGTGTTGCTTTAAAACTTGTTATTTATATTTTTTAAAAGATCACAATTTTAAAAATAGATGATAAAATTGTAGATATTGAAATTTAAATTTAAATTTTGTTTTTTTAAAAGTGGTTAAATAAATCAAGTAAACTTCAAATTCAACTGGACACATATTTTGAATATACAGAAAAGTGAAATTAGCTTAGGCGTGAGAATCCAAGTGTAAACCGGAAGATGTCTATTGAAGATTCCTGTTAATTTCTTCAATAGTCAATTGTAATGTTAGGAAGAGAGAAGAATAAGCATCATTATCTTCCCTCTTTTTTCTCCTTTTTTTTTTTTTACTTAAATATTCTTAATATTTCCACCCATTCTCCTTTAAAATTATTATTATACAAAAGCTAAAGTCAGCAACATTGTTGGCTAATATTCTTAAGAAATTTTTAAAATTGAAAAAGAAGGGCAGGGGGTTTCAGATTTAAAAAAAAAAAAAAATGAAAAGGATGTGCATTGTGCAAGGACTAAAAGAAGCGTACAGAGCATTTGAGTGAGAGTGAATAACACAGCTGTAAGGGGAAGCTTAACAGTGATTTGCCTCTCCATCTCATGCTTTTTAAACTGAGTCAGTCACCCTTTTAGAGCATGCTAAAACTTTTGGTCCCAGTTGCATGGCCTCCCTGTCTCTACATCCCCACCACATTCTTTTGCATCATACTTTTCAAGCTCCCAAGGCATATAAATTGCATGAGGATCCGTTTTGGTTTTGTCAGACTACTTTTGCAAAGACAAAACTGATGCAATCTAATGCCAGCTATTAGCCCCTCCAAACCATAAAGCATTACAGCGAAAACATTTAAGTTTTTTTCCTTTTAGAATTGTTGTAAACAGTTGAGGACCAAGATCTTGTCATGCAGTTCTGTCATCTGCAGTTCGTCACTGCAAAGAAAAGTCAATATCCCCCCCGAACCTCCAAATCTTTCGTATTTGGACTTTAATCGAGTCCGAAGTTGTCATCTACCTATATTGCTTCCAAAAATTAGAGAAAAAAGTTCAAGATAAGCATAAAAAACACATTCAAATTCAATCCAACTCCATCAGAAACTGATAAAATTTTGTTTGGAACTTTGTATTATGGATCAAATTTTTCAGGAGAAGACACCTGTTTTCCTTTTACAGCCCACTCGAAAAGATATTTATAACTGGATGACATACAAGTTGAGTACCAGACCATACTGCCACTTGGAAAGAACCAACAACATACATGATGTGTTATCGTCTGATGAAAAACAGAATCGCAATCCATCCTTGAAACCCCTTGACGAAAAATTACTATAACTAGTTGATTTTACTGCAAGCACCCGTGATTTTCGAAAAAGTTTTTCCAACAAAAAGACAACTACGAAAACCCCACCATGATTAGTTGTTTAAGAACACAATAATGCAGATCTGTCCCACAGCTATCAGATCAAATAGTCAATGTCTTGAGTTAGAAATCTCTTTGACCACCAGACTTCACTTATCCATGTATACATTGCCGCAAGTTCAGTCTATGACCGAGAAAATATTAAGACTTAAACAGACCACAAAGAGACCAACGGCCGCTCCCGAGCAAAATGTCTGGTCTCTTCACATGTTGTAAAATGGTTAGAGCCACAGCAGCTTATAGGCCAAATCCCTCCAAGTGAAGTCCCAAAATATCCTATTCCTACAATCTGCAGAGGTTTGAGTATCAACACCCTTATATTTCCTTCAAAAACTATGCAGCTGGGTTAACATGGGAACAAGCTCATCACTAGAAGGCCTATCAGCAGGCAAATCTGATAGGCAGACAACAGCAATTCTCACGGCCATTAGCATCTCATCTTCCTCGACTTCTTCCCCGATAATACTTTTATCTAGCACTTCCCGTGCCTCCCCTGCATGCTGTAAATGCCGAAGCCACTGTCCTAAACTCCCTCCACTCGATGCTTCACCCAAAAATGGATCAGTGGGGTCTCTACCGGTCAATAGAACACCCAATATCATCCCAAAGCTAAAGATATCACTCTTATCAGTATACCTGTTGGAATCGAAACCATCCATCTTTGTTAGAACAGCATGTGGCTTAATTCAGAAAGTATTACACAAATTGGAAATAGCATCAACAAGTAATGAGGTTCAGTTAATAAAACATGTTGAGACTTTTTAATTCATTATAAGGAGACATTAAAGCAAGCAAAATAAAAAATAATAATAAAGCTCTAGTCCAAACCCAATTTCTACAGCGTGTCTGCCAAAAAAAACAAAAAAGCACTGGTTCCAGAAATAGCATGCACTATTAAGTTCCAGTGGAAGACTGGAAAAACTTGAAGCTCAAGGGGACCTATGAAGAAGACCAATATACGCAAATTTCCAACGTAATTATCTAAAAATTAGTTCCAAAGTGAAATGTCAACTGTAATAGAGAAATTTGTTTGTTATGCATATATTGTGTATAAGAAAAACAAACAACTATCAATATCCGCAACAAACTTCATACTAGTAACAAAAGCTAAAGATGCCATTACCAGATTCGTGATAATTATAATCCTTATCAAGGAATAGCCAGAAACCTATAGATATAGAGCTAATTACTGCAGCCAACAAGCAGCAAAACCACAGGTCTAGCAAAGCATAGAATTCTTACGAAACTAAGATATCCTAGCCTTTAAATAGCAGAATAGTTTCAGTACCTGCAGTTCTGGAAACACTCAGGAGCTCCGTAACCAGAAGTTGCCCTATCTATGTTAGGCATGAGCTTAACCAAGCCACAATCTGCCAGCCTTGGTTCGAATTCATTATCTAATATCACATTTGTGGGCTTCAAGTTGTAGTGCAAAATCTGAGGGATGCAATTAAAGTGAAGATATTGAAGACCCTTAATCACTCCCACAGCAATCCTAAGCCTGACATCCCATCCAAGCTGCAACTGATTTCCCCTCACTCGATTCATTGCATCCTCAAGGCTCCCCACGGGCATATAATCATAAACCAAAGAAAACCTATCAGATTCACGAACATAAGCCCTTAAACTCATCAAATGCCTGTGTCTCAAGCTAGCTAGGACCTCCAGTTCTTGCTGTATCCTTCTCTTCACCGACTTGCTCTGTCTTTCCGGCGAAACACTATCACAGGGCGCAAGTACCTTGACTACAACAGCGAGCCCGTTATCAAGAACTGTTTTATAGTACTTCCCATTGGAGCTTGATCCTAGCAACTGATTCTCATTTGCAAGGGCTGATTGGAGAGTCTTGGACGATATTTTTGGGGAAAATATAACGGGACCTTTGAGGATTGGGGTTTGGTCCATGTACTGAACTGCATATTTGATTAATAAAGCAAAAAGAATGGCTCCAATCAATCCAGTTAAAATTCCTAACACAATACTGAGAATGATCCTTTTCAATCCAATCTTGAATTCTTGAGGCCTAGAAGGTGAAGGAGGCTGAGAAGAGGGGTGGCTAATGAGCCTTTCTTTGCAGTGTACAGTTGTTTGGTGAAAGCAAACAAACAGCAGCAAAAGCAAAGAGAGAGCGCAACTTCTTCTTTTCTCCATACAAGAAAAAAGCTACAAACAAAACATCAAAATCATGAAAGAAAGAGAGAAGCTAAGTATATGAGCGAAATACACATATCCGTACCTTTCTTCTTTCTTTCTTATCTTAAAGCTTCAAAGCCACCATAGCTCAAAATCCAAAACCCCATAAAAAAAATGCTACACGTTTGCTCATCATCTTAAGAAACAGAATAGAAACAAACATAAAAAAAATTCTACAGCTTCTAGTCAGCACCCAAACCAAAGAAAAGCTTCAATTTTTCTGCTTCAAAAAACTGGGATTTGCTTAAATACTCCGACTTCTCAGGACAAAATCGACAACAAAACCCTATAGACGAACCTTCAAGCACTTGAAACTGAGTGAGTAACACATAAATATCGAATTTTTTTCAACTCAAAATCTTCAAAAGAAAGACGCAAAGAATCATTTCGTCACTGAGTTTTATTTGTTCCCTGACCTCAAACTCCAAACGAATTTAATCTTCAACTTGTAAACCCAAAAATGATTTAAAAAAAAAAAAATTTGTACCCATCTTAAGCAACAGAGCAGACACTAACAGACAAATACTCCCACATTTGACAGAGAAAAATGTCTTTAAGTCTTAACAGCTTCAGATTTTAGACCTTACAGACAAAAAAACCAATGAAAACGGAGTTGTTATTTTCCCTCTGAAAACATGACCCAAGTCCAAAGCTTTACAGATTCCCCGGTCAAAGAGGAAGCAAACTTAGCAAAGTATAAGTCATTTTCTAACTTTTTTTTTTATTTGTTTAAATTTTCTTGACCAATAATTTCTGTCATTAGGCTTCAAAACAAACCAAGCACTAGCTGTTTTCCTTTTACACAAGTATAATTCTAACCAAAATTTTCTATTGCTTTAAAAACAAAAGAAAACAAAAACTTTGGTTTTGTTTGGGTTTTTTTTTCTTTTTTTTCTGTCTCTAATTCTAAATTAGGGGCAACGACAGGGAAGCCAAACGGAGGGCCATTTTCTCTTGCCTTCCCGCCTTTGAGTGCAGTACAGGGAAGGCTGGGGTCCAGTGCCACGTAGGCGGAAGCATCGCTATCACGAGGCCGAAAGCAAGACATCGAAGTGTGTGAGGGAGGATTGTGAGCGTTGGTATGGATCTCTACGGGAATTTGTGCTATGTGGCTTTTTCTGAGTTTGATTATAATACAAATGGAACAACACTCTCTTGCGCTTATGCTATTCTGGGATTAGTAAAATTTTATTCTTCTTTTATTCTCAATCTATACAAATCAGAAAGAGAATAACATTCAAATAAATTTTCATATTTTATTAAAAAATAAAAATAAATCTTTGATTTTTTTATTATTAAAATTATGAACTTTTATTCTTGATTAAAAAAATCCAAAAACTTTTAAAATTTTGTAATATTATACACGTTTAAAGTTTATTTATAATAAAATAAAAATTCATAGTTTGAAATTCTTTCTGCAATAAAAGTTCAAAATTTTATTTTTATTTTGGTGTAAAATTCAAATTATTTGTGTATCAGCTTATAGAAAGAATATAATTACAATTTTAGCTGTTAGTACCAATAATTGCTTTGCTAGCATCGGCAAAAGTAGTAGTAGTAGTAGTAATTTTATTCTTACTTGATATATAGAGGATAAATGTTAAAAGTAATTTTAAATTTTAATGAAATATTTAATATATTATGATATTAGAATTATAAATTTGTTAATTAATATAATATTTATTTTTAATGTAATTAATTAATTTCAAATGATGAATGTACTAGATAAATAAATATTTAAGTATTAAATTAATTAATATATTTATAATTCAAATATTAAATTAAATATTTTTAAAATTTAGATATTTTATTAAAAATTTTGATTAAAGATCATAATATAAACTCAAATATAAAAAAGTAAATTAATGTCTAAAAATGATATTAGTTAAAAAATATAATTATTATGTTTTTTAATTTAGTAAAAGTAATACAATAAATTTTAAAAATGTATTTTTAAAATAAAAATTAAATAACTTTTAAAGTAATAATTAAAATAATAATTAAAAAATTAAAGTATATTTGATCGGAGTAATTTCTACAAATAAAAATAAATATAATATTATTTAGTGGTATCTAGGGACGTGTGAAAAGACAACACGTGCGTGTTGCATTTATAATTAAAGGTGCGAATGAACGTGCTTTTTTACGTTCGTTTGTGAATATATTTTATTTTTATTTATTTTTATTTATTTATTAAATTTAATAAATAATTTTTAATAATATTTTTTATAGTCAAATATAAAAAAAATTTTATTTAATTCGTTTATATTTGTGAACAAACTCATTTAAAATTTATTCATTTAAATTTTTTTATTATTTATAATTTATAATTTTATAATTATAAGTTTATTTGTTTAAATTTATTTTATTATGATTTTATTTATTATTTATGAACAAGTTTGTTTATATATATTCGTAACTATTAAACTAATCATTTATATACATTCATGAATATGTTGGTGAACAAAATCATGAATTATTTATTAATAAATTCGTTTAACTTAAATATATTGAACAAAAATAGAACGTGAACATTCTATTATTTAAACTAATCGAACTCAAACGTAATGAACAATTTTCTTACTGAACACGCATAGCTCTAAAAATAAATAAATAAACTATAGACACACGTTTATTTATTCATAATCAATTCGTTTACACCCCTACTTATATTTTTTAAACCATTTGGAGCACATTTCCTTTGGGTTAGGGTAAAACGATTCCAAAACTTACAATTCACAATTCACTGCTTCTACTAGCGGAGGAAAACAACCTAAAAAAATTGAAAAATGTTTGAATTATAATGTTCGATTTGAAACAATTTTTATCATACCATGCATGGATAGCAAAAGTACATTAATTTAATTAGTTGGTGTTAGCTTAACTGTAGATAACAATACAAAAAGGGAGTGAATTGGATTTTTTTTTTAAATTTTTACCTAAAAATAAATGTTTAAATAAATGCAAATAAAAAATTAAAAACATAAAAGATATATCAAAATAAAGCATAAATAAAACCATAATGAAAAATAAAATAAAAGATTAGAGAGATAAAACATAAAAATTTATACAGGTTCGATCCATTTCCAAAATCACCTATATTCTCTCCTTAGCTTCCCTAGCTAAAAATTTAGATTTACTAATTTTTAAAAATCTTACATACTACCTTTCAAGACTAAAGTACAACCTCTAACTCCTTTATCTTTCTAAACTAAAATAACAACCTCTAAATCTCTACCTTTCTAGACTAAAGTAGTAGTCTTTAATCACACAAAATGAGTTTCTACAAAAACTTTAAAAATCATTCAAAAGGATACTTCACCTCTTAATTACAATTATGCTTTAATATTTTGCAAACTATAAACACCTCTCAAAGGTTTAGTGTTTGCCTAATAAGGTAGAAAAGAAAGACTAAATGTTTTGGATATAACATATACAAAGAATATGGAATTTAAGCCTTAAACTCTTTGTTGTTCTTGATTTTCTTAGAGAATTTTGAAGATATGGCTTTATGAACTTTCTCCCATGTCTCTCTCCCTTTAATGGATGTCAAAATACCTTCTTATATAGAGAGAAATTAATTAGAGCCGTTGAGATTGAGTTGGAAAAGAAAAAAGTTGTTATTTTCTTCAAAAACTAGCCGTGAAAAGTTGTCAGGGTTGAATGGATCAATCGGGTACATTAATGGATTGATTGGGTATTGAATTTCATTTAAATTTTGATCGTTGCAAGATAATGGATCGATCCATTTTGATAGAGGATCGATCGAATCAAACTAATTTTGCATTCAGGGTAATTGTGCAGTTAGTTGCTTTGAACTAAATCCTATTTTGTACTTTACTTACTAATATAATCATATCTTAAGTTATACAACTCCAAATCAAGGTCCATTTGAAAATTTAGAAACTAAACTTAAGGGGCTTTCTATCTATATAAAATTCAACATATAATTTAATCTACCTTTTGTGCAATTGTAAGACATTATGTAAACTCTCTAGTAAAAATTTAAAATCTTTTCTTAGAAAATTTGGATTTTAATTTTGTTTGATTCATTAGAAAGTAAACTTAAAAAGCTTTTCATCCATATAAATTTCAAATATTAAAACTTTATAAATTAATATAGAAAAATAAAACAAATTCAATTTTGGAAAACCTTATTCTTGCAAAACATCTTTCTCTAGTTAATCCATTTTTCAAAACCAATATTATCAAAATTGTATTAAGTCAAAAAAGAATAAGTTCACTTTAATATATATATATATATATATATATTGGACTTTCATTCAAATTTAAATAAATAATCTTTAAAGATAGTTTTGGTATGAGAAATACAAAAACATAAATAAAGATTTTAAGCTTTATAAAAATATTTTTCAAATCAAATAATATTTTGGAATACATTATATTTATTTAGTACTAACAATAATAAATCATAAGAATCAATTACTAAATAAATCTTTTCAAAATCTAACACCTTTTTTTCCAAAATATTTTTCATTTCAAATATTACTAGTATTTATTTAGTACTAAAAATAATATAAATTAAGAACATATACTAAATAAATCTTTTTTAAAATCTTAATCAAGCTTATTTAGCTTAATGTTTTGTCAATTTAAAATAAAGATCAATTCAAGACTAACAACTCCCTTTTTGATATGATAAAACTTAAAGATAAATTTGTCTGATGAAAAACTTTCCTTGAAACATTTAAGATTTTTGAAAACCAATTGAAAAAATTCCCCTTTAAACGATGCATATTTCCTAACAAAACTCCTCTAAACTAATGCATTTTTCATCCTAATCTAACACTTATAATCCAACCCTTTTTAACATATATTCTTTTAAGCACAAACATATCAAAACATCCAACATTCATAATTCAACATACATATATGTTAAAGCATATATCTATTAAGCATACACACATATATGTATATCAAAACAAATTTGTCCATAAAATATTTTTCTCCCTTTTTGTCATAACAAAAAAGTGATCAATTTAAGGCATGGGATAATTTTCAAGAGCAATTAATTTTAAAAAAATATTTTCAATTCAGAGTATAATGAATTCATATGTTCAAGTGTAATATGTACAATGAAGTTTTAATATATATATATATAGATAGATATATTCAAGCACAACAGCATAAAAGTATTTCAATGTATCCAATTTTAGTATTTTAGCACAATTATCTCAAATTTACTACATAAAACTTATGAGCAAAAGGATAAAAGAATAATATGCATACTATTCATAAATCATGTTATTATAAAATATGCTTAGAATGTAAAACATCGATATCATGTAACCATATATTCAACCACATAAATTCAAACTCATATGAATTGTTAAAGATATAATATCACTGAACAAATCATTTTAATTTAAACAAAACTGTATTTTAAGATTTCTTTTTTTTTTCAAAATAAAGAGTAATCAATTTAAGGTACACACAATTTTGCATGAAAAGTACAAGCTATATCAAGAACAAACATATATTTCATAATGAGCACCAACATCCATGAAAGTTCAAAAAGCAATTTTGTTCACTAGCTTTCAATGAGCAAAAATATTTCATGCTTATGAAAAATTCAAGCAATAAATCTAAAATGATACAAACAATATTTCATAAACACATCTCATCCAAAGAAATTCTCATAAGAACCATAGCTCATATATATTTAATAAGACATAAGTACCAATAAGGAATAAGGTTCAAACATCATATTATAATAAAGATTACACAATCATGATTTTTCAAATATAATAAACACATATGCTATATCAAAGAAATTATAAAAGCATGATTATCCAAATGCATGATGGACACATTCAAATAAATTTCAAGTCATTTCAATGTATAACAATGTACTCAATCCAAACATATGCAAGTATCTAAATGCAACTCAAACATATATTTCAATTATACAAGTATATGCAAATACATTTCAAATCACAAATAACAATATACCCAAAAAGATACAAACACTTAAGCATAA